TATTTGAGGAAGGATGCTTTGCCTATTAAGGGTGGGCAGAGAAGATTTAACAGACTGATTCTTGGGATGGTAGGCCTGAAGTACAGAAAGAAAGACTGGATCATTTGGGATTACTTTCACTACAGTTTAGAAGAATGAGGGGGCAATCACTAGAAACTTAGATAAGGTAGATGTTCTCGGTGATCAGGAAGTCCAGGACCAGGGGTCACAGTCTAAGGTTAAGGGCCTTTTAGCCCAGAGATGAGGAGTAATTTCTTCATGCAGAGAGTGGTGGGCCTGTGGAATTCTCTTCCACAGGAAGCTGTTCAGGCCAAAACATTGAAGGCCTTCAATAAACATGAAGATATAGTTCTTAGGATGAAAAGGATCAAAGGATATGGGGAGAAAGTGGAAACAGGATACTGAGTTGGATGACAACCATGATTATTTTGAATGGCACAGCAAGGTCAAAGGATTGAATGGCCTACTTCTGCTCCTATATTATACGTGTTTTGTCCAGAATACTGAACCATCCTCCAGTTTTCATCATTCAACCCTAGCATTCTGTCCTGAATGGAAAACATACCTCACAACCTCTCATGGTGGTAGAGAATCAATGTGTCAGAAGTATTTTATTCATCACTTCTGCTTATAACTCTTAACTTCCATTCTCAGCAAAATATTCACCCAGCTACTTATAAAGAAGTCGATCATCATAACTGCAATTTTTTGGGGGGAGTTCACTACTTTGCAAGAAAGAATGCCTCACACCTCTAGTCTCATAAATTATTCCAACATTAAAAAAGGCTCTTGTTGATACAATGACATGTGGCTAACTAAATATTTTCAGTGTTCAGTTTTGATAATGTCTATAATGGATTTAGAAGGCTGATGTCGCATGTACAGAACAATATTGTAACTGTACTTTAGTACCTCAATAGCAATTTGGGTCTAGATATTTTCCAATCAACCTGTTCAAACATGTTGTAACACACCTCTATAGTAGGTGGGACCTGAAGCTGGGCCTCCTGACACAAAGATAGGGACATGGCCACTGCACCATATGAGTCCTTATGATCTGGTCATATATTTTCTAAACAATCTGTTCAGAGATGTTATTACACATCTCTGGAGCAGGTGGGACTTGAACCCTGGCCATCTCATTCAAAGATAACGGCACTTGCACTGTACCAGAAGAGCCCTTAAAATCCGGTTATAGACGGATTTAAATATTGAAATCAAAATAAAATTATTAAGTTAATAAATCAATTCTACCGAACATATAGATGGAAGCAGAACATCAAACAAAATGAAAATGAAAAATAAAAGATGGAATTTTTCTGGTGGCCATTCCTGACTGCTGAACAAGAAGTGAGCACCACTTTCACTCTTTTGCTTTTTCCTCAATTTTCCACGAGGTTACAATTAAAATTTGAAGTGCCAGAAAGGTGCATGGGAGAACACTTGATTCTGTGTTGGGGAAGCTCAACAACTGCTAGGAATTACTGACAATACAGTTACAGGTGGTTTATAAAAGAGCCTCCTGAAGAGCCGGGGCGGTTGTGGGTCATGGCCAGAACTTTTCTGCACAACACACTTTCCATTAAAATAAGTCTTCTTGAGAGCAGAAAGGTTTGCTCTTTACTGGTGCTCTTTTAAAGTTAAATTTTACTTGTAATTATGTTACATTACATTGGTTTCGTATTATTCATGTGTGCATCATTGGTAATTGTGAGACTTGCTTAATCAGAGATCTAGATGTACTGGTCGGCCTCGTGGTTGGCATTCACTGATGGTCAAATGGGTATTAAGGACTTTTCACCTTTTTGTGGAAGAAACAGTTTGTATTTCCTGTTTACTCTTTACTGAATGTACAATGATGCACTTATCATTATGTAGGACATGGCTGAATTTACAAGCTCAGCTGGCCCTCCCTTTAGTGTGTTGTAAAACGGACTGTCCAAGATCATTCAATGTGAGGATAATTGAAATGTTACAGGTGAAATCAAAACCCTGTAAGAACTTTGGCTGTCAACACCCTAAGATGGACATTGGGACGCTATGCATCGACCACACATTTTAGACCTCTCAGTTTCTTACTTTGACTGCCTGTCCCCACCATTCCCAAACATATTCCAAGTCCTTACATGTCATTCCTTCATGACACCATCATCCCATTTCCACCTCTTCCAACTCTTCAATGCACCTGAACTCCAACCATTCAATTCACACATCCACCACTCCTCACCCTGACTTGCTTTTTTCTGGTCCCAAGCCTCCATGAAATATTTAACTTGATATTTTTAATTGGTTACATTCTGAATTGGCTGTTTAAGTACATAATAATTAGTATGTCCACAACCCAGTCAAGTCCTGTCTTGGCCTCACCAATGCCAACATACATAGCCTGGACAACACAAGATTTAAGACAGGTTCTCCTTCAAACCATATGGCTATGGAGACCAAAATTCAGCATACTGCTGTTTTCTCTAATTACCAATTCACCAGAGACCAGGGATCTGTTACAATTCTGGATTAGTCAGTCAATGGTTAAATGTGCTGGCCACTCATGCAAATTAACTGATGATCTTGGAGTGTTGCTGAGGCACACTGACCAGCTCACCTCCCTCATGCCACAGCATTCAACAAGGAAAACTACTCACCTCAGACTTAACCACACAAAGCTGACTGCTGCATGCAACCATTAAAGAAATGTAAACTGTGTGCCATGAGATTCTTGTTGGATGCTGACTTTAACTTAAAAGTAAGACATTTTATGCTCATGGTTTTTCATGGCATGCAAATTTATTACACATGTGAACACATGACTGGATGAGATGAGGTCTGATATACTGCAAATTGAATCTCAACCTGCTATAGCAAAATTGGAATTTTGTTTCACACCTAGTCACCCTGCATGCTACATTTCTTGCTCTTGTGGATTCCATAAAATTCACCACCTGCACTCCATTGCAGCTTGCGGCTAACAACCATGCTCCCAAATTGAGACCTTTTTAAAAAATCTTTCATGGGATGAGGACTTCACTGCCTTGGTCAACATTTATCACCAGTCCTTAATTTCCCTTGACATGGTGCTGGTGAACTGCCTTCTTGAACTGCTCCAGTCCACATGGGGTTGGTATATTCACTGCATTGAGATAGTGGCCTTGAAATCACTTTCTATTTTCAATTTATTTAAAGATTGTTATGTGGCATGGAGCTTTATTCTATTATTGGTTCATTTTTTGAGCCAGCAACATTTGATACAGACATCAATACTTAATGCATTGTTATTCTGTTTACCATTCACGCAAACAGATCGATGATTGTGATGCTGTTGTTGCAAGTCTATTGAGGAATAATCCACAGTAGATCATCTAGAAAACCTGCACTCTATCTATTTTAATCGTCACAGCTTTAAGTGATACTAATCTGACTGATACTAGACTAGCCTAGACAGATCATTTCATCAAGGAAGACGGACAGGACTGGCTTGTTTTTTGAAAAAGAATTTCTGCTTAAATTCATGAGGCAATATAATTTCTGAAAATTATATTCCCACTGTTTAATTTTCACTAGCTCTAAAAAACTGAATAAAAGTTTTAAAATAAAATTAAACTTGAATATTAAATCCTTTATGTTATAGGTACAAAGCCTGTAAAAAGAGATTAAAGATATTACTCTTTATCTCTGTCAAGCATTTATCTCCCCGATTACTAACTCCAGTGTCTTAAAGCTATCACAGATATTAAAACCTGTTTAACTGATTAAAACATTGTAATCAGCTATTTTTTCCTTGTGTATACACAAAACAAAATGTTTAATCATTGGTACAGGAAGTGCATCAAAGTAATGCTCCTTTACCAATGGCATTAGGTTACCTAGGATTAGAATCACTCTTTTACAGCAGTTATTGTTCCATTTCATGGCAGCATATTATGCTTTTATCCCATCCAATTTCTTAAATTTTCTTTTGACTGTTGTAGAAGGTAGTCCTGAGCTGTTTCCAATTAGTTATTCTTGCATTGTGTTTCTTAATCAGTGATTGTCAGCAAGCTAATCATTAATGGTGGTATTGCAACTGAGCCAGATCCTATCTTTAACCAACACCATTGGCACTTTCCAACAGGTGCTACTGCACAACAGAAATTGCCTAATTCTTGTCCCCTATCTTGTCCCCACTGCTATAACCCCACTGATGAGTTGCCAGAGATTGGCCAATTCTGTACAAAGCATGGGTCAAGACTGGGGTGTTACAGGTCTAGATGAATTTATCAATTAATGAACCCAGGAACATATCCACACTGAGCTTTCTTCTTAGCTCTGTAGAACAGCTCCTCCCCACCACTCAATATGGTCAAAATTCTGTATTTCAACCCTCGCTGTTTATATTCAATTTACTTAAATGCAAATGAGTCACTTATAAATTATGTTGTGGAACAGAAGTGAGATTGCAAGTGTTTTTCAGACATTGTTTACCTGCCATTAAAACTCAAGATGAAATGAGTATTGGCAACCAACTACGAAGAGGAATTAAAAAGAAAAGTTTAAGAATATGCCCTTTTCAAACAAAATAATTCAGACTTGGACAAAACAAGCAGAACTATTTTCCTAAAGAAATTAAATAAGTTGCAAAATCACTGTGTTCTCATTACTTTTGCCTTTATAATTACAAAAATTCCAGGTAGGTAAACACAAAGTACATTTATTTCCAAATTATTCCATTTCAGTTGATCTCATTTTCTTTTCACCATTATTTTGCCATCTCTTAATCCTATCTTCATGGAAATATCCCTATTTTCTTCAGTGAGTTTTCCTGTTTTTGTTTACATACATTTATGCAATTCCAATTTCAATGTTATTATAGTTTTAAAAATGTTGTAAGAAATTTACTGCATTAATTTCAATTAATCTATCAGTAGAAGGATGGGCTCATTTATACGGCATTTACAAATTTAAAAATATATTAAAATTACTATCAAACTGTTTCCAATAAAGGAACAAAATAAGGAACTTCTTACCGGCTTGAAACAGAAGAAGACCTGAATAGTCCATGCTTTTTGTTTCTTTCAATAATGTCACTAACATCTGTAAAAGTTTATTTAATCAAGGTTGAAAACAAAATTATAGTTATCAAATGCATAAATATTTCTATAGTAGAAAACTTTTGGATAAAGGAAAAATACTGTGAATGTCAACTGGAAATAAAAAAAAATACAAATGCTGGAGAAACTCAGCACGTCTGGCGGCAACTGTGGAGAGAGAAACAGAGTCAATGTTTTCAGTATGATGTGACTTCTTCAGAAAATTTGTGGAGTTTATCATCACTTGTGTTTGGTCCCTTACCGAAGTCTCTCTGCCTGCTTTTATACTTTGGAACGCCATCCCACATAAACTACTGTGATGGCCAGATCATACATTGGTATCGCCCCATTAGTGTTCTGGTCATTTATTTTTCAGTGTCTCTCCTTATATCATTCTTCAGACTTTTTTCTGAAAATCTCATTGTCTAGAAAGCATTTTTAACATTTTTAAATGTTAGAAATGAAGCACAATTAAAGACATGTGACAAGTTTCTTAACATACTTCATTTAGTAATACCACACAGTGCAGAGCAAGCACTGGATATTAAACAAAGAAAGCATAGAAAGAAAGAATGAGAGGGAGATAACTTAAAGAATATTAAGGATGATTTGTCAAGTGATGCAAGGCAGAAGTATAGGGAAAGGTTGCATCTGATAATTAGCCATGGCTGAAAGATTGGCTACTGATGATGAGGTGAAGAACAAAAATTAGTCCAGTGTCAGCGAGTGAAAGCTTAAGTGGAGCATTAGAGTAGATTGCACAGATAGGACGAGGCAAGAGCAAGGTGGGAGAAATGCAAAAGGATCTTCAAAGTCATTTCACTATGGGATTAGTTAAGGACTGGTATGATGACTGTGTTGCCAAATTCCGAACGAACATCATCTACAAGTTCATTGATGAAACCACCATGGTAGGATGGATACCTAACAACGACGAGTCAAAATGCAGAAGGGAGATAGTGAGCTTGGTGGCATGGTGCAATGAGAACAACCTCTCTCTCAATGTCAGCAAAAGTAAAGAACTGATCATTGACTTCAGGAAGAAAGGAGGAGAACACGCTCCCATCTATATCAATGGAAATGAGGTTGAGAGGATGGAGAAAGTCAAGTTTTTCCTAGTGACAAAAACTGACAACCCGTCCTGGACTTCCCACATAGATGCAATGGTCAAGAAGGCACAACAACGCCTCTTCATCCTCAGGCAGCTCAAGAAATTTGGCAAGTCCATAAAGACTCTCACCAACTTTTACAGATGCACAACTGAAAGCATACTATCTGAGTGCATAACGACCTGGTATGGCAACTGCTCTGCTCAGGACATGAGAAACTATAGAAGGTGGTGTGGACAGCCCAAACCATCATGGAAGTCAACCTTCCATCCACAGACTCATCAAAGACCCATTACACCCTGGTAATGATCTCCTACAACCTCTTCCGTCAGGCAGAAGATACAGAAGCTTGAACACACGCACCAGCAGACTCAGGAACAGCTTCTTTCCAGCCATTATTAGACTGATGAATGGACTCTCTAGCCTGAAATAACGCTGATCTTGCTAATGTTGATCTCATCTAGCACACGCCCTGTGCAACGTAACCTGTATGCCTCTAAGTCTTTTTGATATATACATCCTCGCTTAGTATGACCTGCCTGTACTGCTCGTAAACAAAGCTTTTCACTGTACTTCAGTACACATGACAATAAATCAATCAACCTATCATTCATATCAGAGATAGTAGGAACTGCAGATGCTGGAAGATCCGAGACAACAAGGTGCAGGGCTGGATGAACACAGCAGGCCAAGCAGCATCATAGAAAGCCTTTCTGCTCCTATGATGCTGCTTGGCCTGCTGTGTTCATCCAGCCCTGCACCTTGTTGTCTCTATCATTCGTATGATGGGTTTTTGATCTTGAAAATAAGTGTTAAAAACATCTGCATTTGTGGTAGTTTCTGGATGGTGGAGACTTATAATGTCAGAAGGAGAGAATTAAATGAAATTAAACGTCAAAATAATAAAGGCTTAGCTAATGTTTCTAGCAACACTGGAAGTGATGTAGGAAGAAAGGAGGAAATTGCTTTAGAGATGTACATTATAGATTGCTAGCAAAGTTGAAAGCCATGGAATGAAAGGGACAGTGTTGACAGATACAAAATTGACTAAATGATGGGAATCAGATATTGGTTGTGAAGAGACATTTTTCACCTTGGAGTAAGATTTAGAGTAATACTCGACATAGGTTAGAATTATAGCCATTGTTTGCCATGATATATGAGTAACTTGGAATTATTTGTATAGGGCAGAATAACAGAATTTGAAAAAGACACAATACTTGTAAGTGTAGTCAACTATAAGGAAGATGACAATGAACTTCCAAGAGGACATATATAGACTCGTGGAACGGGGATTCTGCACTTTATGAACAGAGGCATAGAGTATAAAAGCACGGAAGTTATATGTGTGTCCACTGAACACTTAAGAAGAATGCAAAGGCCTTAGGCAGAAAGGATTTAGGATACAGTTTAGCAGTCAAGAAGTTCAATTATTTGGATAGAATGCCATAGCTGGAGTATTCTTCTTGTCACAGGGTAAAGTTTGACAGACGATTCAACAGAAATCATAAAGGGTCAACTCAACCCAAGCTCTGTACCTATGTGTCTAGCTTGAGGTGGAAGTCATGGAAGTTTATCGAATAGAGAAAAGTGAATTGAAGTATAGCATTGAATGACTTCAATTTTGCTAACATTTAGCTTAATGAAATTTCAATTAATTTCGCTGTTAGTGCCAGATAAACTCTTCAGTGGCAACAGATTTTATTTCGGTTAGGAGTAGAGATGGAATGGATGCATTTTAGCTTAAAAAGGAGGAAACAGTCAATTTTCTTCCCTCTTCTCTGGATGGCATTCATTTCTGTTGGGTTATAGTTCCATGGATAGCTGCCGTCTTCATATACTTTGACTAAAGGGTTGTTTTCCACCTGTAAGGCTAGACCATTCGTTATCATAAAACATTAATGCTGTTGGGAAGAGAGGGTGTATCACTGCAAAGATCAATCCTTCCCATTCATATACCTTCTCTGGCAATTTTTATCCCCCTTTTTCACAGACCAATTGCAGTATTCCTACTATCACCCCGAGTGAGATTAACTAACTTGCACAAACTGGGAAACCCTGACTTGTAGCAAAAACGTTAGAAGCTTGTTATCAGATTTGAAACCAAATATCACCTTCTGAGTCCATAAATCATCTCTTTAGTACGAGCAGATAGAGCTGTAAACCCAAGTGTATTTCCACAGAAGGCTGTTCAAAAATATCTTATTATTTCCTTATAAACGCTCTTGGACACTTGCCAGTATTTCCTCAGAGGTGTTACTAAGGATCAAGCAGTGCTTTACATTGAGAAGGTGTGAGGCGACCTTATTAACAAACAGGCGTGTCTATGGAGGAGATGTTTTAATGAACTAATAAAATGAATTAGATTTTATACAGCCAAATCTCTCTTCACATTTATAGAGTTGAAGTGCATATGTATCGTGTAATTTGAGTGCATGTAAAAAGAGGCTTCTTCTAAATAGTGCATTTATTTTTTACTTTTACCACTCGTACACTACATATTTAATCCGTCTCATTGCTTAAACTGACAAAATGCGTAACGATTAGCCCTACAGTGCATTAACAAGGTGGAAAAAGCTGAGGAAATTATAATGGACAGAGATTCTGCAGCAGCAGCCAAGATTTTTCTTTTTTTTTTAAAAAAGAGTCCCCTCCGGCTTTTTAGCATTGAACTGGTTAGGATATAAAATCAATGGGCCAGGGATCAACAATAATTTTATACAAGCTAAATAGAAAAAAACTAGAACAGTTATTATCTATAATTAATTATAATAATTTAGTTTTTCAATCTTTCTTTCTTCCAAAATGACAAAAGATAATGGCAAGTGGGTAAGAAGATTGGCATTTGGATTCAAAGTTGCAGTTTCCATGTCTGCCCTTTGCCATGTTGGTTTCTGTATCTGATCACTGGTTAGTGACCCTACTGGAACAAGTGAGTGATTGATGTTGGGTGAGAATTGCACCAGTCCCTGGCTGCAATGCTACCCACAAGACTACAGTCCCTGCATATCAATAAGGCCATGGGTGATCTTATGGCCTTACCTCCACATTTCGGTCTGCTCTCACAGCCCTTGACTCATTTGACTATCAAAAGTCTACCTAACCCAGCAATGAATACTTTCAATGACCCAGCCTTCACTGCTGTCTGGAGTAGACAATTCCACATACCAACAAACCTCAGTAAAAATTCTGCTCATCCATTTTAAAAGGAAAACATCTTATTCTTAAATTGTAAGCCCTGATTCCAGTTTCCAATACAAGAGAAAACATCCTCCCCGTATCCACAAATCAGGTGTCCTCAGAGCTGACATGTTTCAATTTGATCACCTTTTATTTTTCTAAATTCCAATGAGTATAGGCCCAACCTGTTCCAACTTTTCTTTTCAAGATACACCATTCATCCCAGGAATAAGTCAAGTGAACCATCTCTGAACTCCTTCAAATACAATTTCTGGGTCCAGAGGCAACAGGTTGGAAGTTGGGAAATAAACTTCATTAGGGGGATGGTGGTGGACTAGAACTCTGCCACCAACTCACCCTCTTGTCCAAATTAAGAGCTGGGTGGAAAGGTCCTAGTTCAACCTTACAGCCTCACCCTAAATTGAGGCCCTGAATTGGTCAATTAATGACCACCGCTGAGGCTGCAATGACTTCAACTCCATTGGGACAAGAAAGACTCCTTCCCTGAAGCAGACCACTCTTTTTCTGTTGGCAATTCTCCAGATCTTGGAGTGTATTTTCCCAGCAGCAGCCACCATGGCACTGCTGGGTTCTGGAACTGCCTGTATCTGATTGGTCAGCACTTCCAGGCAGGCCAACCCATTGCCTGATTGCCAGAATATTCAGCAGAGTTTCTAACCTTAGTCAGTTGAGGGTTTTCTTTCCTCCTGGAAAT